TCTCTACGCTCGCTGTCACTTTTATTTCTTTTCCAAATCTTATAAAAAATTTCGTTTAACTTCCCTGTCTCTACTCAACTACCCTTCGCAATAAAGTTACTACCTAACCCTTTCTTAACCTGTCACAACCAAAAACCTCTTCAAATAATTGCGTTAAAAAAAATCCTTTAAACTTATCGTGTCGGATACCAAATAAAATCTTACCCGTCGCACAATAAATCCTGCCTACAATGAACTTTAAACTTTCAATAAAAAACGACCTACTTCCGCGTTTCCCTGATGCCTCACGCTATTGGGCGCCAATTAATTTGTTGTGTCAACTTCCTAAGCCTGAAAGATACCCACACAACTTACCCTTACTAGCTCAATCCCACACAAACTCTTAAAAACACAAATCTCAGGGCCCGTAAAATGAGTCCGACCACCCCTTTTCTTCGTCCGGACAAGGGGTAGCAACCTCGCCAGGTCGGTGGCTAATACCTCCCTTAAATTCCAATATGAAACTTCACCCCCAGATTTAATAAACTTGAAACAAAGTAAGAGACGCCGACAATTACCTCTCTTTGACTCTAATAAACAAAACCTGGATTGCAATGACTGGTTTAATTTCAGACAAAAAAATTGCGTAAATTTCTGTTTTACAAATTGTTACAATTTTAAACAGATAAATGACACACACAAAAAAAAACAAATTACTCAAACATTACAAACAAAACAAGACAAAACAAACCACTAACTACTACTTACTTTTAAAATTAGTCCGAATAACGTACTCCGATAAAAAGAGGTATCCGTACACAATCACGCAAACCAAACACTCAAACACCGACGTCTTCTCTCTTCGGGTACCCACAAATTCAAAACTTCCGTGTTTCCGCAAAATAAAAAAAAAAACAGGACGACGACAAACTTCTTAAACTTCTCAAAAATTCTTCTTAAACGGCAGACAAAAATTCTAACTAAACCTGGATCCACTACGCAAGAAACTTCCACAAAATTCAAAAAATAACGTAACCGAAGAAGCGCCGGTTGGCTTTGTAACGACCAAAAAGCCCCGCTCTCTTCAAAAATTTTCTATTTAAGCCAAAAGCCCTTCTCCTTTCTTCAACATCCCGTCCGCCAATCACGCGAAGCGTCGATTTTTCAACTTCTTGCTGAACGGCACGTACGCCCGGCAATTCTGCGAAGAACCTTATCTCTACTTCGCGCTATACCTCGTTAACGGCAAATAAAATTTAAAAAAGAAATTTACATCGAAAAAAATTCTAGGAATAAAATAAAAACAGAACACTTCTAAGAAATTGAACCAAAACTATAACATGAAATTTACGCAATCCTGTGTCTCAAATTATTAATAACCCCCCCGGTTAATTAATTGAACTAAACAAAATTGTCACATCCAGACGCTCTATAATTTCTTTCAAGTTACAACTAAAACAAAATAACACAACGTATATATAATGCGTAACTGTCAGGTGCTAATAGAAAATTCGTTATTTTTCTATATACACCCTGTATAATAAAAACAAATCGGATTGAAACACGTTAATATATTAAGAATATCCAGTCTACAACTTTACAAGCAGATGGCGTCCACAAGAACACCAGGTTAATGCAAATGGCAAGTAGGTGGTTAAATCCGAGGCTAAATCGTCTTCACAAAAGTGTACTGTTGTGTAAATTACAGGGTGTCGTTTCTCTATGTTGAAGTAATGTCGAAGATGAGAGCGAGCCACCCTGTTATGAACAATTTTCGTGTTGTCAACGTAATTTTCGGTTTACGCATTGGATACAGCAGTTGTGTCATCCTGCGTGTTAAATGTTTCAATTTGTTTGATACGAGTTGGGGGAATTTCGTTCAAAAAGACACAAAATTGGAAAATTTCTTAAACTATCACTTAGTTTCTTTTATTTTAAATATACAAATTGTTTAAGAGAGTTAATTGGATTTGTTGTACTTAGTGGGTATCATAAATCTTAGAACGCGTAAATAAGAAAATATTTCATCATAATTTCGACGTAATGCTAGATAAGGAAGGAAGGTGTTCATCAGTCCAACCACTGCTTCAAAGACGCTTGGCTACATTGCTCGAGCCCTGAGGGAGCGAAGTCACAAAACGGAGAGACGCGCTCGTGGACTAAACATCTCACTCACCAATAAAACGCCTCATTTATACACTCATTGCATAAATAACTATTTAGAACTTTTAAAATTTGTTTTGATCGTTTTCAGGGCTTTTAAAAGTGTCTAAAGGTTTTTCATTATCCATAACTTTTGGAGCCTTATCCCCGGTTTCACAAATTATGGTTAAGGTTAATCAATGATTAAAAAAACAATCTATTGATTGAGACTTTCGGCTGTTTTATGCTCTGAAATTAATTTTTCACCAATAAACAATTTTATCAGTACACAGAGACTCAAGGCGTGTAAAATATACGTTGATCAATTATCACTCTCTGCCACGTGTTATAATCTACCGCTACAAAATTCTCCTCTAAAGTTATTTTCTCAGAGTAAAATGTAAATAGGAAACAATTTATTAACTGAAACCGTGCGCCTTGGAAACTGAACCGGCTGGAGCATGAACTGAATTTGAGACATATACGGCTAAATCTACTTCTTCAGGAGAAAGAAAAATCATTTGGCCTCGATGTGTAAGTAAGTAAACTTGAGAAATATAGCAAACTAGCTGAAAATTTAAACCGTTGTTCCTTGTTTGATGATAAATATAATACTGAAAACAGAATTGGAAAATACGAAACCGTTCGCGAGTTATCATGTATACAGAGAGACGGATGGACGGACAGAAAATTCAAAATCGCTCGTTAAAAATTGATAAATTTTTATTTATAGCATTACTACAGATGTACCTACTAGATTACTGGAGTTACACTACAATTCGCTACTTTTTTCTTCCTTCGGACCTTATTGTCCAGCTTGGAAATTCCTTGAAAATGATCAGAAACTTCTTCTAATGTTTTTCCTTCAGTCTCAGGTAAGACAAAGAAAAGCACTATAATCCCCAACAGGCTAATACTACCATATAGATAGTAAACACCTCCTAATGTCATGAAGGCAATCAGTTTCAAAAACAGATAATTCGAGAAAAATCTTAATAAATAAGAAATAGAACTGCCTAAGCCGCACCCTAGCAGACGGGTTTCATGAGAAAACACCTCCGCCATAACAACCCATGCCAGTGTTGAGTTCCCTACGTGATCCGCAATGCTGAGCATAATCAATAGGGTGAATGGTATCCAGCCATATTTGTCCGCACCTAAGTCCCTCACAGAGGAATTCTGAACTTCCAGTATAATGCCTTTGATATTGGCAACGTTTGTATATGCCGCTATTAGCAAATTGCAAACACATAAACCTCCCAGCGAAATGAATAGTAGTACTCGTTTTCCAAGGCGGTGCACTAAAATTATACAGAGGGATGATCCGCTTAGTGAAGATACTCCCAAAATTAGGGTAGCATAGTAGGCGTTGATGGGCACGTCCATTGTCGCCATAATGCTTACGGAGTAGGTTTCCAAGGTCGCCAATCCCGTACAGGTGTGCAATAGAAACATAAACGCAATCAACAGTAAAGGTAAAGTAAAGCTTCGCTTCAAATACCGCCTCACATCATTCCAATCAAAACACTTTCCGGATTCATGCCGGTTCGCAATCTCGTCTATCTCTGCAGCAACATCCGTTGGCGCTTTCCATCCTCTAAGCCAAGCTAAACTTTTCTTTGCTTCTTCGGCTTTACCATTCATTATCAGCCAGTACGGGCTCTCGGGCACGAAACAGAACAGCAAAAATGTTATCGTTGGGAATGCGCAACTGATTAAAGCGCATTTACGCCAATTATAGTTTGTTCCAAGCAAGAATTGGATGACCAGTCCTATAAATATCGACATTGAACCGGTTGCCGTTAGGGTCCCTCTGAGCTGCGGCTCCGTAATTTCAGAAACATAAGCGCAGAACTAAAACAAATCTTCTTTAAGTTAACCAGTGCAAAAGGTCGTACGTACGGACGCTTCCACGAGACCACCGAACAGTCCCGTTATGCCCAAACCCAGATATAATTGCCAGAACGCATTGGAAAAATAAAATAAAAGCCAGGCAGCTAGAAACGGAATGGTCACCAGTTGCATGGATCGTTTACGTCCAAGACGTTGCGTTACAATCCCTGACAGTAAACTTCCGATGAAGATAGACAGCGTCGATGTGGATCCTATTTAATTGGTATCATTATGCATCTGATACATAACTGAACAAAATTACCCAACCATGATACTTGATTGGCACTTATACTGCCAAAGTGATTCGTAGACCCGTCGAAAACTCCACCTATTAATATCGTTGTATATCCTATGCTCATCCCCAGTGATATCATTAACCAATTTTTTACCATTACAGCAACAATTTGTGGTAGTGACTGCCTGATGCTCATATTTCGTAACCTAAAATGTAAGCCATGTCATCGACTGATCTTACCATAAAGTGCATACATTTTTCGGCAGTTCGAATCACTACATACATATAGTTTGGTTTAACTAACGAGAATAATTTGGCAACTTGAAGTCCATCTGTTTAACTTCATAACGAGAATAAATTCCTATAATTGCCGTTACCTTGGACCTGTAGTCGTAATAATATATTGTCCGTTTACCTTCAACATTTTAAACAATGGTGTATTATACACGTGTGGAAAACACCTTTTTTTACAAACAGCCAAAATTTTGGATTCGGTCAAAGGCAAGAAAACTAGTTTCCAATCGTTGGCTGACTAATGATCGCGCTCGAGTTAAGCAGCTAATTTAAAGTGCTACTTTGAGACCTTTTGTTAGCTGTCCCGTAGTGCAAGGTTTATAAACAACATTTCCGTGAGTGAGATAGGTAAGCACACATTTAAGTAGGTGTTTTACTGTTGAAATCGGCGTCCACACCTGGGACTTTGGTCAAGTAAATAAATAACTTGAACGTCCAAAGGAAAAGAATCAATTAAAAAGAACTTGAGGAACGAAACGTTCCTTTTCTGAAAACTTAAGGGTTACAAACTTTACAGACAAAGCTTTGATTTAGTATTAGGATTTCTAACAGTAGCTGGTTTGGTGTACAGATTTTTTTAGAAATTCAGTACCGATGTCAATTTCCTAGTTTGTTTCATATTTAATACTTTCGGAAGATTTTTTCTCTGTTTTGCGTTTATAATGACAGTATTCCGATATCAAAAATAGTGCTGGAATGAGTTTCATTCCAACACTATTTTTGGTAACTATTTTCCACAACTGACAGATTTTTAAGAACATTTGGTATTCAGTGGTTGGCATGCTCGTCTATCATCCAGGCTAATCATATACGCGAATGTTCAATTCAAAGTTCTGCCTGGATGATTTAGACGTTAATACTTATCTCAACGGTTTAGTAAAATGTGGACTAATTTCACTTATTGTTATAACATTATGTTACAGTTATTAACGATACGGGTAATTGAAATCATTAGGTATTGAAAATTCAGTGTAGGTACTTAGAGAAATCCACATTTAATATAAATGAGGTTTTATAACCTAACAAAATTACAAAACTAATCTTTGTCACTAAATGTACAATTATTATAAACTTTTAGAATAATTGTGGAATTATTGCCTGGTAGCAAATTATGAACAGTCTCTTCTGCTAACTGTCGAAGCTCTGGAGGAGTGGAAGGAAGAATTTCTTCGCACATTATTCACTTTTTATTGAAAAAACTAAAATATACTGCACAAATTCGTATTTGACGCGCTTGTTAAATTGAATTTTTTCAAAATGTAGCGTAGCCAACTTAATTTCTTTATTGAAAAATTGTTGGTGTTGCCAACTTAATTTCTTTATTGAAATATTTATTACAGAAATGTCAGAATTGTTAATTTTTTTAATACAATTAAAATGCTCAACAGAGAAAATAGTATAAAGCATATGTTGCAGAAGGCCTTTCTAGCACTCGTTCATTCGAACCTTCGCCACTACGCGGCTCATGTTCGAAACTTGAACTCGTGCTAGAATATATAGCGCCTTCTGCAACTTATGCTTTAATATACTATTCTTTTCTGTTGTTACACCCCGTGTGAAAAGCAGGAAACATATTTGAACTGCATGCGGTAACTGTCTCCCAATGATTTCACTGATTGTGACAATATCTCTCGATTAGGACCTTTATGGGGCGTTATTTGGTGTTCTAGTGCGACTTCTGTCGGCCCAACGCAAACCAGTGCGTGAACGTACGTACGTTGACAACTTTCCGAGATAACGGATTGACGGATTTTTTCATATATTAGACATACGGAAACGAAAAATAATGGGCAGGATTTTTGAAAAAAACATATTTTCAAATAGCAATCTAAGACTATTTTTAAGTTATTATTCGAAAGACCTTCTATGTACAACCGACAAAAATTATGCTAGGTTGAAAAAAAAATGGCAAAGTTAAAAACCAAAAATATTTTTTCGGAAAAACCGTTATTTTGATATCGATAAAATTTTGGCAGTATACATTAAGCATAAAGGATATAAAACTGTCAAAATGCACCGTGAAGTCATACAACTGTTGTTTTCAAATAGTACCTAACCCACTTATTAACGAACTACGTTTTGGAGTTATTACCCATTCAAAAACGAGTATTAACCGGTAGCAACGTTGCTTGACTGTAAACAATAAAATAATGAATTATTAGCAATAAACACAAACTAAAGTAAGAAAAAACGCTAGAAGTTGTAACACAGGAACAATGAGTATTTAAGAAAGAACGTATCATAAAAAATTATCGATTATCGCGATCTAATTAGATTTGAAATGGTAAACTACTACCTTTACGTTTACGATAGTTTTCAAGAAAGCATTTTTTGCATAGAATATATATCAATTTCAGGAAGATTTATGGGTGTTTAACTTCATACACGAGACAAATTGGAGTGTAGTCGAGGGCGTATGGGAACATTCCTTTTTTTATTAGACTACCAGTTCCGGTAATCTTATATTTCAATCAATGATACTTAATTAATTTATATACAGGCTGTCGATTATTGCGGAAACTAGCAGGGATATCAAAAATGATATGAAATCTTCTTCATATTGAGAGGCCCATTTAATGATGCTATGCACATTTCACATAACTGTCTCTTAACATTCAAGTGTAGGCAACTTAATTTTTTCAAATACAAACCTATCTATACTTTGTATGACTGTATTGAATATTCTTATTCTACATCGGAAAATAATAAACTTTCGTGAGATCCCTACACTTATCATTCTTTGAAGGCACTCTTCTAAAAGCGCTATTTTTTGATTGAACAAGGAAGCTATTCGGTCAAGAATTTGGCACATTTTTTTTAACTCTGACGAGTTGCATGGTAGGTGGTTGAGGTAGAGAGGGGCATTTGGAACCCATGTTGAGAGGTTCGGGTGTAACAGTTTTATTTTTGCAAGTACAATAAACTTCTGTTGACTGTAATTGTCGGTTCAAGGTGGAATCATATGGGGCGAATTGTCATTGGTGCTTTCATTTCGACCGTTGAATGGGGACGTTGTATTACTTTTTCCAATTGATTATTCTTTACAAGCATGTTGGCAGACGGCTAAACGTAAGCGGAGTGTAATTAATAAATTTCACGTTGGTTTAATTGCAAACTTTTAAGAGTAATCATATTTTGGCAATTTAATTTATTGATTGTGGAACACACGAATTGGTTTTGGACCGAGTTTCTTCAATTTTTCTTTCATGTTGGAGGCTTTAAATTGGATTTATTAAATGCAAGTGACTGCCATTTGCTAAATCAAGTTTAAACTAAGTCAATCGCGACCGTAATATTATTTTCGAGACAACCCTCTTATTAATTGGAAGACATATGATTTCTTTTGTGTCATAAGATCGTTTACTAGCCTAGGGGAAATTCATAGGGTTGGTGAACTTTGTCCCAACTCCCAAGTTTTTGAAATTTGGATGGGCATGGTCTTGATATGGTTTAGGAAACCATCGCAAGCAACTTGTGCGCGACCTTTTCTATCATGTCACATGATACAAAAGGTTAAACTACAAAGGGTGAAACTATGCAGAAAAAAATTGGGAACGCTCTTGTAGCCCCCAGTTTAAAAGAGAAAGCATCCGTTTTTTTGCTTGTTTATTTAATTAATCAATTACTATGAAACCTACGGTGATCGGGTTTGTCATATAGTTTTGTTATCAAAAGAAGTTACTGAATACGGATTTTCCAAAAGATCGGATGAATTTTACTTGCTAATAACAAACTGTTAATTTTAGAGATTAATTTTCTGCATTTTGTCATAAAAAGCAATAAGAGTTGAAAATGAGCGTTCCGCAGCAACTGTATCTTATAGAAAATTTTATTCTAAACAAGTTCATTTCTATTCATTCTTTCCCTCAGAGCAGTAGTTAACGAGATATTCGAAGTCAAATGCGAAAAAACACGACATTTTCTTCGTGTTTTTGTTAATAACAATATGTTCCGGCCGTTTCCGGCCAGGGGGACTATGATTTTCGGATTCAGCGGATTTTTTTACATCGGATACGCTTGGTCAGGGGCGTACCGAGGCCTCAGGGGGCCCTGGGCTAATATTTGTAGGGGACCCCTTACTTAATGAATTTCGGGTTATCGAAAAACATCTGCATTTCAATTTTATAATTTCTTCAGAAAATTATTATTAAAATTACAGGTCTAAGGCAAACGCACTAAGTATAAATACAATGAAAAATATTGAAATACAGCACAGATTACACAGAAACAGTGAACCTCGATCTGTACACAGCGGCAGGCGAAAAACCCTTGATTTTTTTACCCATTTTTATTACAAAACAAGTTTCCAGTGGTACTAATTGCAACAATTATATTTTTATTTATAAATTATAAAGACAAACAAATAATAAATCAAATAAAATAAAAATTATAAGATAGAAACAAAACAAAAGAAAACAATAAAATAGAAAAAAAACAAAAAGAAAAAAGAGAATAAAAAAATAAATTAAATACAAAAAAATATGGCGCCCAAGTTTATTAAATAATAAAACGTCAGTGGTGTTTATTAGCATTAAGTAATAATGCAAGCAAATTTTCAAGTTCAACAAATGAGATAACGAATGTTGGTTGGGGAAAATGTTGAACATTTAAATGTAGAACCTCGTCTGATACACGCTCCAATTACTCGTACCTTGGGGTGGGTAGCGTACAATATTGCCTGCACGGTCATTCCATGAAATAGAATAATAGAGTTTTTTCTCTGTTTTAAACGAATTTTTTGAAAGAAATTTCCTTTATGTGATGGTTTTGTCCGTCCGTCTGTTCCTCGTCTAACTCGAGAATCAAAAGAAACAGAGGGCAAACCTTCCCCAATCAACTCCCACGAGTTCAAGGATCAGTGCTTTTGAATATGAGTCGCAATAAAAATTGCGTTTCCGAATGCGAGCTAAGTATCAAAAAAGTCCCTTACTGAAAACGTATACGATGCTTCGTATCTTGTTTTCCTTTTGGACCTCGGATTGCACGGAACGTCGGATTACCGTGTGGTCGGCATGGGGCCCCCGCGTCAAGCCCCTGCCTAAATCCGCCCCTGCTTGGTTTCGTTGAGTGAAGTGACAACATCCAGCCCAAACCGTAATTTGACTGGACTACTAAGAAAATCGATTTTTGACAAATCATTCTTTCGTTCAATTTATAAGGAAGACTTTGCCTTTGCATTTTCACCGAAAATCGACTACCCCAAAATTGACCGGGAAAATACTTTTTTCCTATTAATTAAGGTTCGTAGATTCCAAAACATTGTTACAAGTTCACGTCAAGAGGCATATGTACTTCATTGTCTACACAGTTTTTCAGATCCACTCCTAGTAGGT